GACAATGCCTCACAGGAGGTTCTTTCCTGCTGAAGTCAACAGCGTGAGGTTTGGGAGGCACTGAGAAAGCAGAGGGGTGAGTCTAAATTTAGATTTTCCAAAAACAGTTTATAAACCAGGGCCCCGGGAATCCCAGAAAGGGACAGGTGGTACGTACCACCTCACCACTGGTCTGCCCCCATCTGCTAAAAAGCTGCCTAGTGAGAGAATAATTCATTAGAATTCTGGGAAGGTGTCAGCAAGAAACCTGGCAAAAGCTGGGGTCCCACTGTTGGGAGCCCTAGGCTAGAGGTTTTTATTTCTGTGTTTATTGCACAGTGTTTGCTGTGGAACTGTGGGAGCCTGCATTAATCTTGCTGCCCATCATCTGAGAGCAGCTGAGTAGGTTGACCCTTCTGTGTCGTACAGTGAATGCCAAGTCCTTGATTTGAAATCATATCTAGACTCGTGAGCAGCTCTGAGCTGCTACCTTCTCACAGGAATGACCAGTCTTTGCAGCTGAACCTACTCTACCATGCAGGAACACATCTAAGTGCCATCTGCCCCTCTCTGGGGGTGAGTAGGCCTGCTTCTTGGCCTATCATGCCAGAAGGGACCAGAGCGGGCGCTTCATAGCAAACTGCCAATGGAAAATCTCATGAGGTTTGCAGTAGACATTATAGAGGAACTAGAAAAAGAAGCGTAGAGAATGAAGCAGTTTCAGAAGAGATGAGTGGCAGGAAACTCAGGTGTGACTTCTTGGATGAAGGCCACCTGCATAGGGTATTGAAATTCTGAGAGGTAGTATTGGAGTGGCAGATGATACTGAGCGTGTCAAAGTTCAGTTGCAGAACAATGGACTTGTCTGCATGGTTGGGTGTTATGGTAAGAAGAGCTGATTGAGCACGCATGCACACAAGGAGAGGCAGCCCACCATCCAGGAACTGTGCTGACAAATCTGAAAGGCACAGTCAGGGAAGCCAGTGAGAATTCAAAAGGGTCATTTAGATGCCCGGGAGGGAAATCATGTTGCTGGGATGGAGCCTTCCTCAGGTGGCATGTTTCCTATGTGCTTTAGATTCAGTATATTGGGAAGAGCACTGGGAAAGAAACAGGACACAGAAGGAAGCTATTCCCTCCCATGGGGTATGGAGGCAGGAAGAGGGATGACTTTAAAAATAAATGAAGCCCTTCTTAATTATTCACAGATTATCTGCATTGCCAGCAAGTCCTCCTTTGAGCTGTTTGTGAAGTCAGAGGGGCCCTTCCAATCTGTGTTTACCACCATGTTGGAGCTGGAAGGGGAGGCGGCTTGGGCATCTCTCCTGCTAGAGGGATGTATGTAATTAGCTCCCCTCGAGGCCCATTCGAAGCTCCAGCTCAGGTGGTATCATCTGGCTTGGCTGCTGGAGTTGGGATAGATATAACGCTTTCTCTCTCTCTCTCTCTCTCTCTCTCTCTCTCTCTCTCTCTCTCTCTCTCTGGGGGGGGGTGTCCCTGAGTTCTGAGTTAGGTGTCCAGGAGGACTTTACTACACACAGATTTTGGCATTGTGTTCTCATTGTTCGTGGCTTAGTGGCTGAGGCATCTGCATGCCAATGAAGGGTATTCCTTTGGCCAAGTGTCAGTCTCTGGGCTGTCACCACTGAGCCAATGCTCACAAAGCCTCAGTCGTTTACCTGAGAAGGTGAGAACTTGGATCAGAAACAGCCTCAGAGGGCATGTTCTTGCCATTTGGGGACACTGGGGGGACAGGTGTCAGTCACTAATGGAGTTGCTCAGTAGAATATTTAGAAGCCTGGCCCTACCCAATAAAGGTGACTCCTAGTCACACGAGCCAAGGAGGACAGTACTGACTGCAGCTAAGGACAATGGGACTTGTCCGCTCAGACTGTTCCCAAGTCTGAAGTTTTGTTAAATATATAAATGCTTTGCCTCTGGGCCCAATAAAAGCTTCAGAGGGGAACGGTTGGGAACGGTTGTAAATTTGACAGGCAGTCAGAAGAGTCCATCTCATTCTGCTCTGAGGAACTAACTGCTGGACAGCAGCCATGACAGCTGACATCTGTAGAACTAAGCACTTAGTATATGGCAGAGCCTTGGCAAATTTCCTTGTTCAGAAACCCTCAGAGGTCACAGGGCAGGGAGCAATGGAGCAACTCAGGAGATGGCTCCTTCCATAATGTTCTTGCCACACAAGCATGAGAATCAATGTTCAGCTCCTCAGAACCCATATAAAAGCCTGTCACCCCAGAGCTGGGGGAACAGAGACTGGAAGGTCCTTGTGGCTTGCTGGCTGGCCACTCTAGCCAAAGCAGGGAGCTCCAGGACCATGCCTCAGGGAATAAGGTGTGGACGTTCTTGAAGAAGGCACCTGGGTTCAACTTCTAGCCTCCGTGTACACAGCTGTGTGCCCACATGTGCAGCCCTCAATGGGAATCTGTCTTTTCACTAGTCTGATCATCTGCACACCACACAAACACACACAATAATTTCAGAATATTAAGTTCATGGTTGTTTTGCTTCATTTATTATTTGTAGAGTTGTACAGAGTTCAGATGGGAAAGTGTACTCATGGGGCCCTGCACTGTGTGAGACTTAGATAGATGAGGTAGGAATTAAGAATTAAGGAGACTGGCTGGGTGGTGGTGGCGCACGCCTTTAATCCCAGCACCCGGGAGGCAGAGGCAGACAGATCACTGAGTTCGAGACCAGCCTGGTCTACAAGAGCTAGTTCCAGGACAGCCTCCAAAGCCACAGGGAAACCCTGTCTCAAAAAACCAAAAAAAAAAAAAAAAGAATTAAGGAGACTGGCTAGATTCCCTCTGCACTAAATACAAAGTCCTATCTTTGTGTACCCATGAACTTTGTACACTTAGGAAACATGTCACACTCTTGAAGTCACTATGTTGCCTTACTTCGTGAGTTCTGAGTTGACCTGGCTAGGGTATGTAGAGTTTCCCCTAACCACCTAATATCCTATACCTGCAATTTGAGTTCACAGGCATCAGAGGGGAACCATTAAGTATGGATGTGGCCAACTGCTTTCAGTTAGGTCCCTAGTGTCCCTCCCTGTCATAGGATCAGCCAGCTCTGATATCGCATTGGCTTTGGGGCAGATAGCCCCTTTTCTGTGAGTGGCAGGAGAAGGTTTTGTTTTGTTTTGTTTTGTTTTGTTTTGTTTTTGCAGATTTTTTTTATTTGAATTAGAAACAAGATTGTTTTACATGATAATCCCAGTTCCCTCTCCCTCCCGTCCTCCCCTACCACCACCACCCCAACTAAAACCCTACCTATCACATATCTTTTCTGCTCCCCAGAGAGGGTGAGGCCTTCCATAGGGTGTCATCAGAGTCTATCGTATCCTTTGGGATAGGGCCTAGGCCCACCCCGTGTGTCTTGGCTCAGGTAGTATTCCTCTATGTGGAATGGGTTCCCAAAGTCCACACCTATGCTAGGGATAAGTATTGAACTACCACAGGAGGTCCCGTAGATTTTTGAGGTTTTTCTCACTGAAACCCATGTTCCTGGGATCTGGTATACCAGCTATCAGTCTGGGGAGCAGGAGTTCCCCAATGTTCAGGTCAGTTTCTGTTTCTGTGGGTTTCACCAGCCTGGTCTGGATCCCTTTGCTCTTCACTTTTCTTGTAGCTCTGTATCTGTGTTTCTGCCACCTATGTGGGAAGGAAAGAATACAAATGCTTTTAAATCTCAGTCCAAGGAGAATTTTCTTTTAAAATATCCAAAGGCCTTTGCAAAATAAGGAAGGGACCCTCGTGGGAAAACAAGATTATTGAGCCCTCATCTTTCTCTGTAACTGGTTCCTTTCTCCTCCCAACCTACCCAGCTAGTGCTTGCTG